AGATGAAGGTCGCACAAAGAAAAACAAGAAGCGAGCAAGAAGTTCCTCAGAGCCTGGTAGTGAAGAAGAAAGTAAAGAGTCCGAGGAAGAGGAGGAGGATGAAGCAGAGTCTGAGGAATCAACGCCACAAAAGAAAAAGCCTTCGCACAAAGGATCCAAAGAGAAGAAGGGTCATGAGAAGAAGAAAAAGGGCAAGAAAGGTGAAAAGAGGAAGACGAGGAAGGGAGGTCGCAAGGTTGCCAAGAATAAGATCAAGAAGACAAAGTCCAAGGATGAGACCGAAGCTGAGAAGGATGCAAGACTGCGCAGGGAGGCTGCAGCAGAGCAGAAAAAGAAAGACGGGGAAGAGTGGAAAGAGAAGACAAAAGAAGAAAAGAAGGCATCCAATTTGCTTCAGGTTGCTGGTTCCAATTCCCACCATGGGAAGAATATCAATGCAAACATCTTTTGGGAAGAAGTCCGGGGTAGGGGGATTCGGGTGGTAGAGTGTGGTGTAGAACACATGCATGTGAGTGTGACTGGATCTGGATATTATTCTTTGACTGCCATATCCGGTCATGACAGGTGCTGATGCAGCTCACTGCCCGGATCAGTGATTGCCGATCCAAGATCAAGAAGTCTGACACGCTGTTTCTCGGACAAGATATGTTGGCTAGAGTAGGCTATTTCTCTTCAAATCTTAAGTTTATATTCCTGTGATCAATCGAGATTATTCGATCTATTTTTCCGGATTTTATTCAAGGTCTGACGAATTGAAGCTGCCGTTTGTCAAGAATATCCAATCTCAAATGAAAGCTCTCCAGTTGGCCCGTGATGGACTTCAAAATGCGTTCGACAGCGGTGAGGACAGGGTTGCCTCCAAACACCTAGCAAGATTGATCCCAAATTGTCCCACATAAAGGTTCAGCCCACCACACGTTGTCCCTTCGGCCGCCTTCGATTCATGACCAGGAGCGTATGGTGAAATCCGCGGGCAAGAAGGGCGACAAGGTCTTGGAGTCCTTCAAGTCCTTCATCAGCACTCTTTCCTGAGTAAGACTTGTGGAGTGAGCACGGCTACATGGGCTGCGTGGCTATAGGAAACTCTGAGGCCTTTGAAAGAATGTAAGTACATGATACGCTCACAATCTATCCATCTATAGGTTATCTCTTCTTTAGCGCTATCTGGTATTTGCTTTGCGGGCGAAGGAGTGTTGGCCTAGCAGCCATTGTGGTTGTTTTTGGATGATGCTGGCAAAGATTTGCCAACGTGGGGTTTACGCATGGGTGCCGGACTAGTCAGTAACGTATTGAAACATAGACCTGCACGTGTTGGTTCGGATCCATGCATCTTTCTGGGCTGAACCCAACGGGGTCAAACTTGCTAGCCGCCAGCAATGAATCCATTGCAGGCCCAACCTTAAAGGATTGCGCACATGAAGGAAAGATTCTTTGCAGCCGTCACTTCACCAGTTGTCCCCCCCGAGGTCTGAGGCGATCAGCAGTCATCAACAAATTTTTTGCCCACTAAACCCAATGCATGTGGACCATGTGGACCTTCGCTTCCGCTGATGCCCCCGGGCCCACGCAGGTCCATTCGACCAGGAGACCACGGATGAACCATACTTCAACGATATCATTGATGACCTGCAAGCGGGCGCTGCCTGTCTAATCTAACCTCATGTGAGAAGAAGGTGGTTAACCTACGCATGACATGAGTGGTTGTTATTTGTGCATGGCATGGGCATATTTTCAAAACGGTGTCAACATCCCACTGAAGCGGCCTAGGTTTGCAGTGCACGCCGGGCCTTGAAGCGTTGCAAAGCCCATGTGGAGGCCAAGCGCCAGTTTGTGAGCATGGCTGTAAATGACTACCAAGTCCAGTCACACTGACATTCACAAGGCCCCCCCTCATTTCAACATGGTCTTGTGGACACTGTGTGGGTCCCACTGGGCTGGGATTTTGGGATTGGATGCTCATGGCGCAGGATTCCCGTGGTTTATGCCGACGCAAGAGCTATCGCTTGGGAGTGCAGCGCCCTGGCAACGAAGCTCGAGCAATCAAGCGACTTACCAAAAATGCTTTGGACACCTGGCATTGATTGATTGACTTGAGCCATGCTTAAGCTGCACGTGTTTCAAGATGTCTGAAGTAAATACTGTTTGTGCGTGCAACACGTATACGCGTATGAACCTGTGCTGTGTTTACGTTCATTGTTTTTTCAGGAAACATCGGCGATATTGGTACCAGTGAAAAACCGCAAAGACCCGAGGGGGTTTGTGATGCAACAACAAGAAATTTTAGATCCACACAGACTCCTCTGCCACCTGTTCAGCGTGACTGGAATCAGCATTGCAGGAGAGGACGTTTCAAGGTTTTGGCATCACGTAAGAACAACAGCGCCACAGGATTGCTATGTTTCAAGCCCTGCGTCGGAACACCACATCCCGGTGTCCATTTATGGAGACAGTGCAAAGTTGAGCCAATCCGGTGGTAAGATGCTGGCTATCTACCTGGGGCTACCATTGTGGCGCCCCAGGAGCACAAGATGTGCCAGGTGGTGCATCTGGGCGTGTGAGGAGGACGTACTGTTCAAACACCACACACTCAACAGAATAATGAAGCGCATCACGTGGTCGTTGAACTTAGCATTTGAAGGCGTGGGCGGCCACCAGTTCATTCTTACAGAGTTCAAGGGGGATTGGCTGTATGCGAAAACTGTCCTACGCTTCCGTAGCAGCTGGAAACGCTTGGATAACGTGTGTTGGAGGTGTCGAGCTGGGTGCCCTGGTAATAGTTCTTGGTATGAATGCGATCAGCCACACTGGGAAGAGTATTCGTTTGCTGGCTTCCTAGCGGAGCAAATGACTGGACCAGATACATGACTTTTGGATGCAACACTCAATTTTGTCTTTAATTTGCAATGATTCGGTTCTGTTGCTCATGTACTGCACAGGTCTTGCATTGGTCTTCTCGAACTTGGCACCTAAGGCCCCATTGTATTGTGCAAAGGGTTCCACCCCATGGCCGTCAAGCCTTGTACCATGCATGTTGTTCATCTCGGAATCCAATACGATATCAATGGTTGCGCACTGCTACCTGGCCCATGGCAGTTTTGATGTCTCATTAGTCCTGGGGTAGTGACTGCTTGTTTGAGTCCTGTGCTGGTACTTTGTTAGGGTTAGCGCCATGAGGCTGACACTCTTGGAGATGAACTATTTTGCCGGTCCGGCACATGTGCCAATGACAGCTCAAATCCATTTCGATAAGGCAGATGAGCATTTTAGGTCTTGGCTCAAAGCCAACCGTGTCTCTTGCTCACAACCACCTTTCCGACCGTCGATGGTGCCTTGTTCATGCTGTGCCGGTATATGATATGTTTCTTTGCTATTTTCCTACTACGTGACTGGAGAGACATTTTGTTGAAGCCGCTCATCGGCTCAGGTATTCAAAAAGGACGGCACCACTATTTGGAGTGCGAAAGCCTGGAACGGCAGAATCCTCTGTGCGTGGCTTCATTCTGCTTTGCAAGATGCTAGCCGAAGACGTGATGAGTTTCTCAGAAGAATGGCCTCCATTTCCCAATTAAATGTTCACATTGAAATCCATTGGGGCCTTCTGAGGTTTCAGCCCCCTCAGCGACCATTGGCCCTAATGTCATCTTGCGCGTGCCTTTGCTTGTGTTGTGTGTTCAGACCTGGGCATGGGAGTTTGAAAGCTATATTTGTTATTATTTTCTTGAGCCCAGTTTATTTCAAATCGCTCAGGACGGCATTGGCGAGGTGGCATCATTTACATGAGACTGCTGGCCGGTATCTCACGGTTGCAGAAGGGCAGGAGCTCAATCGCACGACGCGGCTGATTGTTCGCCGGTACATTTCCTTGGTCAAAGATGGGTTGAGGCGCAATGTTATTTTGCTGTTTATCTCCCATGTTTGAAGTAGCACTATAAGCCGCTAGTCGGGTTAACATGATTCTGGCTCGACCTGGCTGAGCTGCAGGCGACATGTCGATGAATTTCGATTGCGCCCTAAAGTGCACGTTTCTCGCCCGGCTTCTGAAGTTTGAGTTTGACTGGCCACTTTGAGGTTCTAGTTGGAACCACCGATGAGACCCTTGCCGTTAATCTGAGGTTCTTTTGAAGATCGGCAGGGACTCGGAAAGGTATCGGTACAACGCGAGGTTCTTTCATTGTTTTGGCGAAGAAGATGGGATGCGTTGGGTCAAATGCGCCTGGCTAGAAATGCAGTTTTGTGAGGTGAATCTTGTTGAGTTTGAGTTGTATCTTGTGGACTCGAGTGCACTATGCATTTGCTTCGTTCCTGAGGTGCTGCACTGCGGGGACATCCCAAGCGACGAGGACACTGGGTTATGTTTCTGACTCGTCTGCGTGTTCTCTCCATGGACGCGAAGATCAGGCGGTTTCTTGGCTAAACATGTCGAGATGTGGTGGAACTCTTGAAAACAGTGTGAATATCTTCTACATCATCTATGCAACCGAGGTTGAACTGGCAAGCATCCAAACGTGTGCGCAGGTGAAAAGAACATCGCACCTTCACGTTGTTGTGTGTGATGCTTGTTCGAGCCACTATGTGAGGAGGAATAGGTGGCACAAGCGTCTTTAGTCAACTTTGCATTGGTGTTGGTGGGGTGGACAACGGAGTTTTTTTGCCTTGGGAACAGTGGTTTCTTGTCATCTGGAACCGATGTTTTTTAGCACTTAGGTTCAGTGCTGGAACGGATGTTTTTTTTCTGGGTGAAAATACCACTGAGCAAATCATGGTTTGGCAAAACAAGGCTGTTTACACAACGGAGGTTTTTTTTTACTACTTTTGGAACCCGAGGGTATCTATAATTTGCGTGTGTTATTTGTGTTGTATAACCCAGCACCCTCCAACAGGCTGTTTGAAGACCCTAACAGGTGGTTTCTGGGCTGGTGTCACCAGGAAACACCTGTGAAGTCGGGTCCAGGACTATACCATTTGCAGTTTATACTCAGATTGGCTCCACTCATGGCCAGGAGTCACAAGAGCCACCACAGCACCAGGACACGCGGGGCGGAGTCGGTCCGACCCGCCGTCGAAGGGTTCGGGCGCGCGACCCGCGGCCTGGATCGTCCAGCTGTTTTGGGGACCCGTCGTGAGGAACTAAAGGAACGGTGCCACGTGAGGAACGAGACGCTTTTTGAGCACTCCTTAGCCACGGAAAAAGCTGGACGACGGCGAAAAGGTGAGACTCTCACTAAGGGGGATATAACCGGTACTGTGAATCCATAGGGTAAAAGAAAGCATAGTATAGGTGTGAAGAGGTTGAAGACTCGTCCAATTCGTACCTGGCCCGATTTCGCTGCAAGCCTATGTTTCAGAGACGATCAAGACTGGGCAAAGTACGGGTGGGCCCCTCACGAGGGTGTTTTGGGTTTCCCCTCACTGGGGCTTTGAGTTTTTTCTAGCATCTTTGCAGTTGAATACACATTGTCCAGAAGAATTGATATACTTGATCATGACCAGAGGCTCATGGACTTCAAACTCCTCAAACTTCTACATGAGGGCGGAATTTCGATCAACTGTTAAAACAAACATGCCGCGACAGGGAAACTGCAGTCCGCGAAAGGCCGGCGATAGGACAGCGAAAGACACGTGCCAACCTAGACTTACATACAATGTGCATAATACATGACACATCCTTTTTCCTGAACAGAAACACGGATTTTCGCGAAAGGGCTGCGAAAGGCCGGCGGTAGGCCCGCGAAAGAGCGCATTGCCTGGAAGGGCATTTGCCCATGGCCTTGAAATAAGCCTTGAAACCTTTGTTTCAAGTATGAATTGACAAAGGGTAATTAGCCTGCTTCTCAGCGCACTAAAAGGGATTTAGATGTCCCAAACACTGTGAACTCAGTGCAATGGAACAAGCTCATCACAATGCGCGAAAGGAAAACCTGTGGTTTTTCTGCAAACGCGAAAGGGTCGCGAAAGGCCGGCGATACAAGCTCAAAAAGAAGAGCTTTGTTGGACAACCCCCACATGTTTGAGGTCCAAAACCCTGGCTGGTTTCGGGTCAAAACCCTGGCGAACTGAGTGTCCTTTCTGAGCCTTACCGGTGTCTTCAATGGCACCTTCCTCCCCATTCGTCTCGTTCTCCTCCAGGACGCAGCGTAGAAAACGGAGTCGAACCTTCGCAGTCGAACCCAAACCCGCCGTAGGCCGAAGACGGATTCGGAAGTCATCGACAACTGGGCGGCCGCAGAGATGTTGCAACTCACCGGGGAGGACCCGCGTTCTCCGCGCGCTCGCGGAGAGCGCGCGTGGGTGAAGGACGGGGGTGGAGCGCGTGCGGTCTCAGGACGCAGCCGGGAGCATGGAAACCAGAGCACGCGAGGTTCCGCGAATGGGGCATCCATGGAACCATAGATGCCCCAGTCATAGCCGTCATTTGTTGGTTAAGAGGAGTCCAGTATTTCTGCTGAAAAGAGGTTCATGGAAGGAGTTCTTCAGTCCAATATTGAGATGTTGTTTTTCAGTTTTTGTTCAATCAGCCATCAGGCCAGGGGTGGTTGACCTGAAATCAACGTAGGTGAATAGTACAGTCCCATGTGTCGTGGGGATCGTCGACGTGCGTTTTAGTGGTCTCTACCAAATGCACCCATGGCTTTACTATATGTTTTACAAAAAGGATTTGAGACAGAACCAGGTCGACCAATTGTTGTACTATCAGGATCTCTAAGGTTTTTAGACTACAAACGACTGTCGACCAGTTTGTGGAATATGCCCATTGAGCATCATATGATGCGTCTCAAAGTGTTTAAGCGCACCATCAAAATTGTACAAATGGGATTCCTTGGTTTAAGTGCTTTATAGTTCAGCTTGCTTCATTCAGCTTTTACTTCCTGCCAGGACAAGATGATGGGCAAGTTCGATACCCTCATTGGCATTTTTGTGCTTCTGACACTTCGACAAAGGATTTGCCCCGGAAAGACAGGGAGGACCCTGCAGATGTTCATGAGTCAAAACATGTGATCCGAATCCCAAACCAGGACACATGGGACTGGCATCTTGACCTCCATTCACCCCAAGTCCAAAAAGGCCTGGCCGTTTCTGGGGGGAGTAGAAAAAACATCTCAGTGCCAGTCCCAGGTCCTATTTGGTACATCTCTGGACTGTAGAAAGCATCTCTGGACGGACGGGCGCTGACGAAGCGCACTCGGGTGAACTCGCCGAAGTCTGCGACCCGAAGTCGCGGCTGGTCCACGGGAAGAGGGCCACTGCCTTCAAAGATGGCAGTGGAAGACCATTTGGGGTAGCCTCCCATGGCCTGCCAAGCCCCCCATGGAACAGTTGCTTCTTAGTATCACCAGTGTGTATCAAGATCAATCAACTGCCGAAAGGATCATAGCAGATAACCATCTACACGTAGACCAGTCCGTTCTTTTCCTTGATGGCACTGTACAGCCACCATATCAAATACGGATATGGATGGATGATCCGGAGCACAAGGCCTCAATGAAATCCAGTGATGTCCTGTGAACCCACAATCATGCATTTCGCTGTGCTAGACTTGCAGCAGCTCGCTATGCAAAGGCGCCTTCGTGCCTTCTCAAGTCTTGTCTTCCCAGGACACAACCTTTCAGTCTTCCCAGATCAGCCTTGGATGTGTCTCCAGTAGTCTCCGGACTCCAGGAATAAACAAAAGAACAGACATCAGTTTTGAAATCAGTGACTCTCTCCCCAATTTCCCAGGACTTATCCAGAACCTCCCAGGATAATGTCGCTGCTTTGAAAGACATGTGTTCTTCGAATGTGTTTGCCGACGGAGCCTGAGGAATGCTTTCACGATGGCCTTGAACTTGGAATGCCTGGGAAGTGAATCAGCAGACCCTGGGCCTCAAAGACCGTTTGTTTCGTCCTCACCGTGCGCTCTTTTCAGGCAGTTGCAAGGTATCCTGCTTGAGACCCACAGCCAAGTTTCGCCACCGGTATTTTCGCATGGTTTCGCCATCTTCACACGTCTAGGTGTGCAATCAAGTGGCAGCTGCTCAGCTTTCAGGGCCCAATCTGTTGAACTGGCTGTAACTCACCATTATGCTTTACACATGCCGCGACCTTCCCGGTGACCAAACTTCAGGATTATTGGTATACCCTGAGCATCTGAACCCTACAAATTTGTCGGGTTTGAAAACAAACCTCGGGTTTAGCCGAGACATAAGGGAAAACTGGGAAAACCTCGGGTTTTTAACCAAATCCTCGTGTTTTGCCCCAAAACCCTCGATAGCCATGTGCAGGTGCTCCATATTCATGTTCTCCCGCCGACTTATCAAATTTTCCGTGGTCAAAACATGTTTCACAATATGTTAAAGGCATTCAACACTCTTATACTCTTGTCGGGAAAAGTTTGGGTCCGTGATTGAGAGCTCCGATAACCCGTGACAAACCCGTGTCAAACCCGTGATTATCCCGTGTCAACCCGTGATGTTGGATGACAAACCTCGGGTTTTCAGAAAAACATCGTGTTTCCCAAACCCGTGACGAACCTGTGACAAACCCGTGATTATACCGTGACAACCCGTGTTTTTTTCACGGGTTTTAGGGGGTACAATAGCTGCATTTTTTGTTGAGATCTTTTTTTGTTCTGATCAAGTTCCTGGGCTTTTGGAGTTTGAATTCAAGTTCCTGTGGCCTGGCCTTCGAAGATGGCATGGGCGGAAAAAAAAGAACACCAAAATGGGAAAACTCGTGTTTCCTCCAAGAACCTCGTGTTTTGGGATTAGCCCTACGTTTTTGTCGTGTTTGGAGGCACAAGGCACGTGTGACCCCTTTTACAGATCGAAGTATAAGTGACCGACCCGCCACTGGGATCTCATTCAGACGGTCACTGGGGCCCTCTCAACAGAGTTCTGCTGCTTTAGGGTCGCCCCTAAAGGATCCGTCGAAGGTGTGACCACCCGTCGACGCGAACGACGCAAGAGAGGCCCTTTCTGGTCCCTCACCCGTCTCCGTTCACGACGCCCGACCGGTCCCTCCACAGGTTCGACCCCAGACCCCTTGAGGATTCGGGTCGGTCGCGTTGGGGCATAAGATTGACCCCAAGACTCGCTGCATGTGAGTGTCCGATTCTGGGGTCCCAAACCAGCACCCTGGAGTCCAGGTGTTTGCTCGTGACGACCGGTGACCAAAGACCCCTTCTTAGGGTCTCCAAAACAACCTCTTGGAGGGTTCTGGTAGTTGTGAGGATCGGTTTATAGTCCCTATAGCTGCCAAAACGTCAGTTCATCAGTTCCGTTTTCGTGCTTCACCTGAGGTACAGTAGCAGTGGATCCCTATCCCTAACGATCCATAATATGTTGACGCAACAAAGTGCTTATGTTTGATGGTTTTGGGTGGTTTTCATGTAGGTCATTTTGGTGCCATTTACTGACGGATCCTCTGGGTATAGGGATTGGTCACGGAAGGACATGGTCCGAGCATGGTCTTTTCGCCCAAGCTGGGAGGCTCTTGGAGGGTCGGAGCGCGAGCTGAGCTCGCAATGACCTGGGCGACCTGAAATGACCCGAGTTCTTCGGGTTCTGACCGACCGATTCTGAGCTTCAAGTGATTCCAACAAGAAACCCAGAGCATCCGTGGGACTCGCCGATAGGGTGGTTGGAGGGTCGACCTATTCCAGTCGGTCTGGAAAACATAAACGCGAAACATCACTGCGAAGCATTCCCCTTGACTCACTCATCGCGGCTCCGAGATGTCCGTGGGCTTGAAGCAAGATCCCACCTGGTGTTCCTTCAGACCTGCATTGCAGGCGAGGGAGGGAGGGAGGGCACCGTCCGGTCCATCGTGCGCACACACCGTGTGGGCTGGTGAGGGCACGAGTCCCTAGCCCATATCCTTCGAAGGTGGAGATTGACCCCCCTGGCACCCACCCCAACCATCGATACGGAAACGGAGGGGGGCGGCCAGGAGCCCTGCGAAAGCACCTCGCTTTTTGCCCAGAGCCACTCCGTGGATCTACCATCACCTATCCAAGCTCTTTGGGGGATTGGTGACTCCCCACTGAACCAATCTAAACCAGCAACTGGTGAAAAAAGGGGTGAACCAAAAGGGAACTCTCCAACAAGCTCCTGGCCCGGCCCCTCTCCTCAGGTTCGGTGGGGAGTGACCCCCCAAAACCACCCACCCTAACCACCTGGGGAGGTGGGCCAGGAGCTCTAGGGAATTTACCGCATAACTTGTACCATCTTGTACCCATTGTTCTGAGACGAACAGGTCCATTTGAGGTGGACGCCCGTCTTCATGATGGGTGGACTTCATGAATGGTGTAGACTTCAATGCACCCGGCGGGCCAGGGGGGGGCAAGGCAGAATCTTTGAAGAAACGCACATAACACCCACTCACCTCTCGCAAATGAATAAGTGATGGCCGCATCTCGAAGAGTTCCAATAATATATTTACATGCTACAGAAGCACCCCATGCGAATATTGACCCAATCCAAAATATAGGATCCTGGCAGCAATTCGTTGCCTCTGAGAGGGCAAAGTGAAATCAAACCAGAACGGATGGCAGTGCATCCCGGCAAGATACCTGAAATTCATATCATATGGATGGCATGGCATCCGATTTCGACTTGGATGACACTGCTCTCAGTCTGACCATGTTGTGCTTGTCACTCCACGTAACTATGATCTCAGGGAGTGTAGACCTTTTGGAGCTCCAGTCTTAACCGCTTTTCTCGGAGAGACACACTAACCCACACGCCTCGGGAGCCCCGAGACACCTCGGGAGCCCCGAGACACCTCGAGAGCCCCGAGACAGTGTTTTTTTTTTCTCCCGACTTCGCACGTCTGAGGTGAACCCCTGAGACGTGCGTGTTTTGCGATACAGATGGTGTTTTCGGGGTGAAGGTGTCCACTTCGGATCTGTGTTTGAAGATATTTGAAGCAGCTTGTCATTTTAGCACATGGCCATCTTTGGCCATCTATCAGACAATCTTGTATTAACCCTAGGGCTCCAACTACCTCCTGAGAAGATGGTTTGGGTGGGGGGGGAGCCCTAGGGTAAAATAACAAACAGCAGACGATGTCTTCAACATGTCGATTCCAATGTTGGGTGCTTGGCCACAACCGCAGTGTTGTTGACAGAACCTGGACCGACTTCGTTCGTAGAACATGGGGCGACATCACCCCAACAAAAGACAGGTACGACTCGAGGTACAGTAGTGTATATGCCTCAACTCTTTGCTGCAACATCCTGCAGAGTCTCACGCAGAGTTCATCCGTGCGAAACAGATGGCTGTCAGAGGCTGTTCCCCTATTCCGACTATCCCTATATGGAGAGAGGGTGATTGGAGACTTTGTTTATGTTCTCTTGGAGGGTCCAAGTACCTTCTGAGAAGGTGCTAGTATATCCCTATAGGCTAGTCCCTAGGCTATCTTATACATCATTTCACTCAAAACAACTTTTCCAAGGTGAAACAAAGATCGCCCTCCGCCATCCGCCCTTCAACCAGTTTTTCAACGGAGTGCAGTGTTTTTTCAACGAGGTTTTGGAGCACTTCTTCGTCGTGATCTTCGCTTTGGAGCTCTTCTACCGAATCTATCGCGTGCGCTGGGAGTACTTCCGTCCCTCGACGCAGGCTTAGCCTGAAGCGACCCGTAGTGGCGAAGCGGAGGCAAAAGCGGTCGTGTCTCTTACAGATCGAGGTTTTGTATCATCCCAAAAGCGTTATAGGACCCCCCCGATAAGATAGCATATGTCGTATAAGAAAATTAAGGATATTATATAATATAATATTATTTTGCAGATAGCCTCCGGAATCCACGCTCAGGTGATCCCTGGAATCTCATGGATGCGGGCTTGGTCCTAATTGCAGCCCCTTGGATGGGTCGACATATGGATATGCTGTGACCGCTGTGTGTTGCACTGTAATGTCTATAGAGCCAACAAAAACCTGCCATGCATCATGTGATTGGTTTCATTATGCGGCATAATCACATGGATCCCTATGGACCTATGGATGGCCTATGGATCCCTATAATCATTGCCCTATGGATCCCTATGGATCCAAATACCAAACCTGAGGTACGCTGAGCAGGGAGACTAGACTCTGGCCTCCGACCCGGTCGGGCCTCTGACCGAACCAAGTAGATCCGTGGATCTGAGCCGGTGGACTCGCAGACCCGGTCGCCCCAAGGAGTGCAAGGAAAGAAGAAAAGGAAGTGGAAGAGACAGAACAAAAGCAAGAGAAAAAGCAAAAGCAAGGAAAAGAGGAAGAGGAAGAGGCAAACAAAGAGGAGAACAAAAGTTAGATCAGAGAAAAAACACGAGCAAGAGAAAGAGGCAGAGGAAGAGGTACCAATGCGCATATGCTGAACTAGTGCCCCGCAGTGTTGTGACAAAATATAACTGCAACCTTAGGAAATTAATCCAAGGCCCCCTGAGCTCTGGGATCATCTATTGGGATTAACCCTGAGGGGGTTGGATGACAAGAAGTTGTGCAAACTCTTTAAGCAAGTTGGGTTAATTGTAGAAGGAGGGGAAGCAGAATGAGGAGAAACAATCTTAAAGGATAGAAAGAACGGAAATACCCGTGGATTGTTTTTGATTCGTGTGATCCTTGTAGCAATTTCTGCTTTAGAATTGGAGCAGCTAGATGCTCGGCGAAACTATTGTTTTATACAGCACTCGGTGCCTGGATAGCCAAGGGAAACAGGCGCAAAATATCTCCAGGGGCATGTAAGTAGTGAACCACCCTACCCGATGAGTTTTCAATCAAAAAAATGCGACTCAACATCTGCAGGCCCTGATTAACTAACTCAATTGCTGACTGATTGTTGCTGACTGATCTTGTTAAGACTCAAACCTCCAGAGACATCCTCCACGGAATCACGGAGTCCCTCAACAGGAGCACGCCAGCACTGCGAAACCGCTCGCTGCAGTCCTTTGTTGCTGAGAGCATGCTGTTGTTGTTGTTGTTGTTGCTGTTGTTGCCTTTCAGGTGGCGGATCTCTACGTTTTAGAGCCGATCTTCAAGAATACTCCCACCAGCAACGCGGTGGCCTTCCGGGTCTTTCGTGTCATCAAGCTCGAGCCTGGGACCGCAGCACACGAGCACACGAGCGGCGCGTCTGTTTCAGGCTCCTGGCCGAGCTCCGTTTCGGTTCGGCCAGGGGTGGGGGTGGCAGGGGGGTCAGTCCCCACCTTTGATGGGAAAGCCCGAAAAAAGCCCTGGGGCTTCACCCAGAAACGAAAAGGATCAGACGAAGAATGGGAATTCAATGACAATCGCAAAGCACCATATACGGTCATATACGGTATTTATTCTGGTCCCTCATGTTCTGGGCGTAGAGAAGGTCTACAGCCAAATGCTTTTTCCTGGACCCGACGAAAAGAACGACATGACGTGACCCTATTATATAAGACAGGTCCGACTGGGGACCCATGTTCTGAAATACTTTGAGCAACAATACTTAATACCGCGCATTGGACATACTCGACGATGTATATAAAGAGCAAAGAGCAAACACCATGTTATGAATTGTCCATTTCACCCTTAAACAAAAACACACACACACACACACACAATCACTGCAGTTTCTAGCCATCTCTAGCCTCATTCTCTCATTAAGGGAACAGTTGACCTGGTTTAGTAAACCAAAAGAGGCTCGGAAAATCCTATTATACTTCAATTGCGTTTGGAAGCCTAGTTCACTTTATATAGATACCCCATACACAGGTCTATGTCATACTTGTATGTATCATATCCCTGTAGGGGTTCACTGCCACCGCACCTCAGGTTAATTATGTTGTTCTTTCATCCAGGTGTAACATGTCGGGTTGCCAAACGAACGAAGTTGGGGTGCCCCTGTCACATCCACTCATTGGACGGGACTAAACGCCACCCCACTCCATGTGGTTGCTGCAGATGGTATATTTTTTGCGCCTCCCCCACCGAGTTCACCGCCCGCCCGCGTGTGGAACCGCCCTGCTTCGTTCGAACTCGGGCCCGCTCCGGGCCCGCCCCGTCCGCCGCTCCGAGGCACGCGTGATCCGGATCGTCCGGGCCCTACGGCTCTTCCGAGGCGGTGACCGGTCGACGCGTGGTGACCGGTCGGCGGAAGTGGCCGAGCCGCGCGGCGCAAGAGTCAGATGGGTTCATTCTCCGGTTGGGGCAAGGTAGGAATGGGTGTGGTGTTTATTGGTGGGTTTAGGTGGTGGTTTTGCAACTGACAGAGATTTCAAGGTGGAAGATGAATGGAACGGACGATTGTTACAATATATGCTGTCAGATATTAACTCCCTGAATTTATGGCAATAAGCCGCCTCCTAAAATAATTCCCCCAGAAGAATGAACATAGACCAGTCGAATTGGTAGGAGGGTTTCCCTCTCATAATGCACATGAAAAAATATACCACAGTCACATGCACGTTTCTTCAAAGCCCACTTCAGGGTGAGCGAAAGTTGAAAAATGATCTTGAAACTTCTACCCTACATAATGGTATTGGAAGTGGAACACCACCTGAGAGAGTATAAGATCATATAAAATTATCCATGTAAGAAATTAGTATTCGCATGTCCGTTTTTCTGGAAGCATGCTCAATTCCCTGTAAGACGACAAGGAAGAACAACATGATAACACCCCGTGACACTTGTGGAAAACCCTTGACATGCCAGAAGTGGTGTGAAGAAAATGCGTGCACACACACAAACACAAAACCTACTTTTCCAAATTGGCTTGCCAGCACAAGGGTTTTCCAACTTAGGCATGAAAACGATAAAAACGATAACACAGCGAGCCTAAAACACCTTTCCGTAGGTAGGCCACATGGGTGTAGTTGGTATGAACTATGCCTAACTATGCCTAATGTGTTCATGTCTGCACCGTTCCACACACCACATGCATGCAGTGCGCACACATGTATACCACATTATTGCAGTCAGTCAAAGTGCTGTAAAACGATAAGGAAGAACCAACACGATAACTTCAAAAATGGTATAGGGAAAGATAGAGGGTTGTTTACACGACCTCACCTGTTTGGTCTTCGGAAAATGGACATTTTTTGGGGGGGCCATGCCATCCACTTATGTGTTAGTTTGCTGGTGAAGTGGAGGGAAAAACCTCCGACTTAATAAACTTTTGTTGCTCAGTGCTCTTGCATGAAGAAACGTTCCATGCTCCTGGAGTCTCAGTTCGTACCTGGGAAAATGAGCACAAGTAAACGTGGAGAACAAATCCCATCACGCAGCAGGGCGCTGTTCTAGCTATTTAGACTGTGAATCCAAATCCAATGCTAGGTCTTCATTGACCCTCCAAAGACCCTACAAAATGGGACCTAACACTACAACAACATATAATGTGTTAGTACTTTCACAGGTCGACTCCGGTTTCATGTTCCGCAGATGGAGCCTCCACGCAGGCCTACGGGTGTTGGTCCACGCATGCTGTTCTTTTCTGCCATCACTGAGTTGGTCTATGGCACCCTGTCAGCACATGTCAGCACCAACGCCCGACACCCAACGCCAGCTACGACCGATGGTTGACGTTCGGGGTCCATGATACCTGGATCTTCCAACTGTGATATGGATTTCTGCCGAACTTTATCCATAAAAATCAGCCAAGGGTGGCAGAAATTTGGCATAGTTGAAAGATCCAGGTATACCTGGAGAGTTCAGGAGATGGCACAATATGGCACCATGCAAGATGCCGGGAATGTTGAACTCGAAGAACAAGTGATGCACTACCCATTTCGATATCGAAGCATTTTGGAGAGACATGACATGTGATATAACCAGATACGGCTGAAACGGGATGAAATCCAAAAGAAAGGAGCAGGAGCGACCTTCAGGGGCACAGACCTCCCCTCGGACTCGTTCAAAAGCCTTCACCCTCCGCGACAGGACGCGTTCCTGGTACCCAAACGAACGGACATGCCCCGAACAAAGAACTGGTACAAACTGTACAGGTCAATGCTGCACTGACGTGATGGGATTCAGTGCGTAATGGGCTTCCTCGGTGCCGAGGAAGAAAGACCTGTTTGGCTGATATATGATGATTCGTTTTCATGGCGAAATCCCCTTCTGGTTAATTTGTTTCAATGTTCTTGAAGCAAATCCAAGAAGAGTTTGGTGGTCTGCCAGGCTGACCATCCTTCAGCAAGCTTCCAACCACCAGCGCTACAACACCAGGGCAAGGGTTGCTTGACATCGTCTTGGAAGCGGCAGGGACCTCCCTTTCGTGATCCAAGGCCCTCCTGAGCTTGTGCATGCTCTCAGGAGGTCTTCTCATGGGAAATCTGCTGCTGAGCTCAAGCGAATTCCGCTCGTTCGTCGCCCAGTTCACACTCTGATGATCTCTTTCTCCGCTCGTTCGGTCGACCGTCACGCCGAAACAGAACTCCGCTGAACGCCTCCCAGATCCCGTTTTCAAAGAAGCACAGCCCTCTCTCCTGGTCCCGGCAGACACTTGAGTGATTGGTGAGAAACCGAGAAACCACGCGGACCCCCAGAACGATGACCGGCGGAGTCGGGGCCGACCGGATGGGTGGCGCTGGGCGCGCTTACCGGGCTGGAACATGGGACGTCGCGACAGGTGCACGCTGCTGGAAGGATCCATCCAAACAGGGGCTCCGTTCGGCCCTTGAGAAAACCCAAACAGCAGACATGACACGTACTCCCTGGGAGTCCTTTGACTATCGAATGGTTGACCTAGCTAGGCTATAGGTGACCTGCAAAGGATGGTCCTTTATACTTCAGTCACTTCAGTCGGTCAAAACATGTCTTTGGACTTCAGTTCGGCTACTGCTTGAATACCTTCAAGTCGCTACCCTGCGACCGGGGAAGCACGACTTCACCGGTCTCTTTGGGACGGAACAGGACATGAGCAGTCCGTATACCTTTTCTTTGACTCCACGGATGACTTTGGGCTGACTTTGGGATGCAACTGAATTCAGTTGCATGGTGTGTTTCTTCAACATGCTGGGAGACTGCATGTTTCACAATGATGGCAAAGATAAATGTAGCAAGATTCCCTGTAATATATGTGAGTGTGCATAGTCATTTAGTCCTTTATCTTGGACCATCAACCACCCCAAATATGGCCTTGTCGGTCAAATGGTTCTATTTTGTTTGTATATGCGTTGTGTTGTTGTTGTTGTCGTCCTTTTTGAACCGATTGAAACAAATCACACTCCAAACCGCCTTCTGAGATACCGCGGAGCAGAGTCATCGTAAGAATTTGCTGGGTAGTCAACCCACACATTGTTGGTTTGAGGATGGCCTATGGACACTGGTTCTGGGTCATGGCACCCGTTTCGCCCCAAACTCACCAGGTTAGGTTGACCATGTCAGGTAGTCTCCCTAGGGCTCGAACTACCTCCTCTGAGAAGGTGGTTAGCGTGGGTTTGGAGGGTCTATGTCTAACCATCTGAGGATATGGTTGGAGCCCTAGGGTCTATTCTGTTCATTATTTTTTCGTCAACCAGAGTGTTCCGGTGCCATGCGCCATCCCACACCCACCGCGTCGACGTTTGCGTCGGCCGACGTCGTCCCAAGTCCGTCGGACGGTCGACGTGAAAGCGACGTTCGCGTCGCACCACATCGGTCGCGAACCCTTGTGGTGCCATGTGGTGCCTTTCCGCTGCATGAGGCATTTGAACGTGATGGATTCCATGATAGAGCAATAGATTCCATCGATATTCCCCATCCCGTTTGGGATCCGTTTTCGTATGCCGAAGCTCAGGTTCGGTACGACGAACGACCCGACGTTTTGGCACCTACAGAACAGTGCAGGCATCACATCACCTTACCTCAGAGGGTGGCAGTGGATCCCTATAGAGCATTGTGTGGGATGACTTTGAGACACCTTGAATCACCTTATATTCTTTCTCTCTCTCTCTCTTTCTCTCTCTCTCTCTCTTGGTGCATCTGTTTGAACTGCGGCATCGTTGTTCGGGGGAACACGACCTGATCGACCTGGTGAGCGATTTCCATCGGAGAAAACTCAAGTCGAGGGATTGGACGGAATCTCGGACCAGGCTGCAGGATTTCATCAATGACGAGGAAGCGGACATCGACCATCGCACATGGGCCACTTGGAGATGAAGTCTAGGACAACTTATAGAAGTCTAGAAGACGAAGAGGCAGTGTTTTTTCATATGAGCAGTGGTTGGCTGTAGGGAATCCTATTCAGTACCAGGACTTTCCACCTGATACCTAGGCGCTCGGGTTCTAGGACTTCAAGTTAAGTAAGTGCACAGGGCAGAGGGCAGAAGGATATCATTCTAGATCCCAGTTTCCGGGTCTACAGCACCCAGGTTCCCTGACCCTGTAGTTGAGGGGATGATCTTGCATGATCTACCCAGCCGGATGGAGCCAGTCTCGGTGCCCTGGACCTGTCCCAAGTGCATGCTGCATACGTTCGAAGGCGCGTCCTTTTCCCCAAGGTGACGTGCGTCCTTTTCCCCGGTTCCTGGGTGAATCACCACACCTGGGGAATAGTCTTTATTCTTTTCCAGGTTCCTGGGAGCAGCAAATCCTTAGGTCATGACAACGTGAGAACTGAGTTGTCATGTTCGATGAAGGCATGAGATTCAGATCAGCCGACCGAAGGAGCGCTTTTGAGCCGAGACCGAACTATCGATGAGATCCTTCACCCAGCCAGGGCGAGTGTCCGGGGGTCCCCTTTTCAACATACTACACATTAAACCCCTATGCCCCCCTATGTTTTTTTCTTTGCGACTGTCAATGCCTTTCCTTCTTTTCAAGTAGGCATTCTATTGCTTTATATGTGGGCTCCGTCGTGCGCTACATGTGTCATACCTGTTTTGCTATGTTTTGTTTGCTTGCAGCCTGAACGAAAGGCCAGCCCGGTGCTTGGAACCCCTGAAGAGTCCTTAGAGCAACAAATGAAACAAAACATCTTAAAGGAGCATCCGAGGGGTGTCCAATGGAGATCCCTAGGTAGTGTGGGGTAGTCCATTGGACACCCAGACAGGATGGTCCTGGTTATGGTGGGAGCATGGCATAATCAAAGCTTATTGACGGGTGCTTAGGGAATGAAAGAATGACCACCACTATGTGTATATGATTCATTCCCTGATTTCTGACACCATTCAGTTGCGGATGTCGATTGCTTGTGCCTCCCCCCCAAACTCGTCTAGTGGAAGACCACTGGGTTTGGAGGCCTCCAAACCACTCGTCTTCCATCTACCTTGAGGGACATGGAGGGAGGGTACCCCACTGAGAAAACTCACACCGACCCTGAAAACCCACTGGTGCAGGAGGAAACCAGTCGGACTGAGGCTGCCAAAACCATGACTGGGTTGTTTTCGGGAGGGTAGATCCTCTTGAGCACCTCATGTTCCACCCTTGGAGTTCGTACACCGCACGTCTACGAAAGACGAACGAGACATACGAAAGAATATCGAAAAACAAAAAAACGATTACACTCCATTCCCGCAAATTGCAACAACATGAAACACAGAATGTTGCACCATTGGCATGTTGTTTCCAGTACACCTCCCATTTTGGCACCGAATCCGAAATCTCCTGTTTCCGCGCTTTGTCCGACTGTTCTGCCGAGATTTGGATGCACTACGGCACCTCCTACCGGGCCATTTACACCATGCGACCTGAACTGTTTGGACGGCACAGCAGAACGAACACACGAGATGTTTATCCGTCACGAACATGACGTGGTGGTAGATGTTTATGGAATCATGCAACTAGATGTACCCGTCAGTTCCTTCGTACCCGAAGGAAACGAACGGACACACCAAAAACACAAAAAAAGCAGCGGTTTAGGTGAAGCAAGGGCCTGCGGTGCGAACTGGTCGACTCCTGGTGAGGTTTTTTCGTGTTTGGTGCGAACCGCAGACTCAACTGCGGAGCGCAGCGGCCAATTTCAGTGCAACGAGTTGGTGTGATCTGAGGTCACTGGACTGGAGGTCACTGAACATGTTCGGCCAAGACAGCTTCTTTTGACCTCAGAGGTTAAGAGGTGAAGGTTATGTTTTAGCAAAAAGCTTTGCTAGGCTAGAGTTAGTACTTTTTATTTGTTTTTTCTCGCGTGATACACACATAATTTCTCACTCCAGCTACTAGTTTGGATCAGAATAAAGAAATGCAATATTTTGCTTTTTGCTGTTATAAGACTCTTGCTTGCTGAGGACACAATGGCATATGACTTATGACACTGACAGAGCCATGGTAGAACATCCACCAGCATTTGTTAGTCCAAAGATAATGGAGAGCTGAAGATGCAATCCAAAATCCCCAGCGAAATCCACCAGAGCTTTTTGCAGGTTCTCCAAAAGTGTGCAGCTGCAAACAATGTTGAAGCAACCCGTACAACAGGATGCCAACTGCATCTTATACCCAGACACTCCATGTCTGTCATATATGCCTACATTGACCCCTCAAACCACCCGAATGTAGATAAATATACCATGCATGGAGTGTTTGGGATAGGATGGTAAAATAGACTTCGACACTCCAAACCTCACACCCTCAAAAAAGGACCCGCCCTTGGCGCCCTTGGGAATGGAGCTAGCACTGAGCCTGGTTCCTTGATCCCGGATCAACCAGACTTACTGCATGCAGCCAGGCGTGTTTGGCATATGTACTATGCACACATATATTGCAGAATACATCGGAACTACTGATGTACCTGGCACATTCTGCTTTACAAGGATGTATATACAGGGATGCTTCCCCAAAGTAGGGAATGCAAGAAAGGGTTGAAGCATGGTGAAGCTGTTCAATGAAAGGCTGTAATGAAAAGACCAGACGCCTCCTATTTGGGACTGTACTGTGGCTGTTCCCCGTTCCAAAGAGACGCGCAACATCTTGGACCCCCAGTCCAGATCACAGGCTTGGTACTCAAAGCTTCTTTGTGGAGTCTTTGGCGGGCCTTTTCTCAGAACTCATGGGTGTTCAGAGTAGAGGACTGTGCACTTCACCCCAACAAAATACAACGCCTCGGGAACATCCCCAACTCCGGTGGGGCACACAGACCGCTTGAGGTATGAGATGACCTTTGCCGGCCGCTTGGAATGCCATGGAATGCGTTAGTCGTTTGTATGTTTATATGTTTGTTCTTTCCGTGGCTGCCTCCAAATGTTTTGTTTTTTTCGTTTCTACATGCGGAACAACCTTTGACAAAAAGACGCACACACACACACACACACTTTTTCTACACATGTGTGGTGTCCAGACACTCATGGACCCTCATCTTTTGCGGGATGCGGACCTTCTCACCAATCCCGGTTTGCTTCGGGACCGGGAGGCACTCACCGGAGCGTAGAGTCTGGGACCCGACTCGCTGAAGCAGCGCTTCTCACCCGCCGTTGAACGGGAAGCATCGAATGCGGGGAGTCGACCCGGGTTCCTGACGTAGCTCGGAACGAAGGATATACATGGATATACAGAAACCCAGACACGACTAATGGGACTTCCAGTCCGGACTGCCACCCCATTGACCCCCGTTTCAACCACATCAACTGATCGGCAGTCCTATGGCAGTCCCATGGAGTGTCTGGGATATACTTATTTTAAGCGATGTTTGGGATTTTATATGGACATGTGCCAGTTTTCGGGGGTACGAAGGAGTTGGTGGGGTCCAGGTACTTACCTTCTCAGCTTCGGAGCATACTGGAGCCGACTCCTAGACACCATCGTCGAAGCTAGACCTCAAAAAGAGTTTGAGTTCTCTACCCAGTTACTGGACTCGACTTCAAGTACGCTAGAAAATGGGACCTGACCCCATCAAAACATGTACTACATGTAAAGCCGATTCGAGGCCTATCATTATTCTTCGGACCCGGGTTCAGCTAGGGTGTGGAGCGTCCGCCTCTGGAATATCTTGATTGTGAAACCCACGGTCTTCCCCCTTCCTGCGGCCTTTTGTGTAGCTCTTTTCAGATCATACGTTGATTCGGTTGATTCAGGTCTGTGGGGAAGTAGTCTCGGTGTCGTCTCCGGTGTCTGATTTCTCTCATGTATATACTCATGCGCTGTTCTTCCGGCGGGTAGATGACCAAGGTGATGCGATATGATAGTAATTCTATGTAATTTTCACGTAGGTCGCATGATTCAGTGATGAACGCATCTTCAAGATGTTGAACAAAAGGCTGAAAAGGCAAAAACTATCAAACACCTATCAATCTCCATGACCAATATGAATTCCTGTGTCCACCAGTTCATCTCTTTGCCAGAGAGATGAACAATTCCTGACATATTTGACGGTAGGAGTCCGCATGAAGACAATTTCACACTTACGGCATCCACGAGGCATGCGAAGGGAAGCAAGTTCGCCAAATTCCGTAAGAACGCTTTCAGAGGACGATCTTTTGTACACCCAGCTAAAGTATGCTAAAGTAATGCTTGGATTGAGTGCAAGGAGAATAGGGAATCCCGCGGTCCCGTGTTTGTTTGTTTGTTTGTTTCGACTACACTGTCTTGACGTTCGCAACATCGATACGTTGGGGCAAAACTGTTTTACATACGCCAAAGGCATCCTCTGACGAGTGACGGAGTCACCAGAGTCGGAGTGCTTACCAGATCGGGTCACCGTGGTGCTGATCGGGGTGCTGTGCTAGCACCCGATCCGATCTTCCGTACGTGCTAGCACCCCAGGAGTGGAAGGAATCTCTCTCTCTCTCTCTCTCTCAATGCTATACCAGGACCCTCCAAGGGGTGTCCAATGGACTACCCCACACTACCTATAGGCTTCCATTGGGCACCCCTTGGAGGGTCCTGATATAAATATATTATATAGTTCCTTGTTGTGGCCCCGAATGGATCAGAGCTCCCTGGCACCTTCCGCATTCCACCCAATAGAATGCACCGCATCCCTGTAGGAGTCCAAATGTTACTTTTTGTAGGAGTCCGAACAACTGTTGTTTTACAGTACTAGTAGGACATTATAGGACCACAAGATTTTACAGTACAAAACCAGGTCAACAATTTTGTTTAATGGTCTTTTTCCGAAGGCTTCACAGGACATATAGGTTGTGTTTTTGTGGAAGAGAAGGTTGAAGACGGCCAAGAATAGATACCAGGTTTTGCTTAAGATGACTGTTTTTTTTTCCCTATGGGTATATCCCATTACCTGGGGAATATATATGTATAACTTCTATACCAGGACCTTCGAACAGGTCATCACCTGCGACTTTTAAGTCTACAAAAGCCTCCAGAGGAGACCTGTTGGAAGGTGCTGGTATATAAGTTATAATGTACATATTATGTTGGTTTTTTTTTCCAGCTTCCTTAAGCACTTCCAAGGATCTCTGATATCGGTCGCACAACTCTGTCAGCAAATCCCCCTTCCTTCCTCAGGTAACTGGCCCATCTACGCGCGCCCGGTGATCGAGAACGTGAGCCACGTCTTCGTGCTGTTTTACATCACGTGCCCCCGGCCACGGCCCGACGGACCGACGGAGAAGCGTGCCGAAGACCCGAAGACCGGGCGAAGACGGCGACGGGACGGACGGAAGGGCAGAGAAGAAAGAGCCCTAGGGCTCCTGGCCCACCTCCGTTTCGGTTCGATGGTTGGGGTGGGTGCCAGGAGGTTCTAACCACCTTCTGAGGATATGGGCCAGGAGCCCTAGGATATGAAGATATGAAGATATGAAGACATATTAGACACCTCTGATCCGAGGCCTGTCTATTTTGGGTTCATGTCTGTATTACCGTTTTCAGGCAATTGGAAAAAAGGTGTGCCTTCTTTTCCCGGTTCTACTGTGACCGTCATAGCCGGTTTGATGCCATGTTCAGCTTGTCCCAGTTGGGTATGTCAGGTTTTCTGGGTCCTTTGTCAGGTCACGTCACCTTTGTTGGGGTTGTGGGTGATCTGCTTTGATGTATTGCTGACGGTATGTTCTTTAGGAATTCTAAGGATCCGAAAAAATGGAGACAAGATCATACCCCTTTGGTATCCGGTCGTAGCTTCTCAGAAGGTGATTGGAGACACTGTTATGTAGGTGCCAGCAGGGTCCAAGTACCTTCTGAGAAGGTATGTGGATCCCTACGTAGGGATGTGTCTTCACTTGTGTGTGTGTTTGACATGCCAAAATGATTCATGGTGCTTCAATCCACACCCTTTTGTGTGTGGTGCAAATCACTTTAGATGTCACCTGGATGTGGGCCAGGAGCCCTAGACACCACCCAATCGTCCTGCAGTACGGTGCGGCACGGTGCAAAAATACATCACCCTCTCCATGGCAGGGGTCGGACCTTCTCCACCGAAACGCAGGGGGAGTCTGGGCCCCTTCACCAAATCCGGATTCTGTTGCTTGTTTTGGCCCGGATTCTGAGGGCAGGTCCGATTTCTTTCAATGGCACCGCCTGCTCCGAGAGAGTCCGTTTCTCCCTTCAGCTGAGTGCCCTTCATCCCCACCAGCCCTTCAGATGAAGCCCAGCTCGTATCCCAAAACCCGTGGCATCCGGGATCCCTAGGGCTCCTGGCCCACCTCCTGAGGTTCGATGGTTGGAGTGGGTGCCTGGGGGGTCAGTCCCCACCGAACCTGAGGATATGGGCTAGGAGCCCTAGGGGTTGAAGACGGTCTTCATGGGTGTTTTTAGATGACCGAACATCAGGATCCAGTCGTACCCTCTGAGGTGGGACTGGGGTGGGAGGGTCCAGTCGTACCTTTTGAGGAGATACGACTGGATCCCTAGGGACTGAACATGACATGCATCTGGGGTGGTTTTTACATGGCGTTTTCCAGCCGCGGATGGACCAGAGTATGGACCAGAGCTCGATTGGACCGGTGCTGCCATGTCGAGGTATATTACTTTCATCGTCTTTGCTGCCGTTGCCTCAGAGTCGTTGCTGCAATTCTGTATCAAGGCTCCATCAATCATGCATGTTTCAGACGATGCACCAGCGGTTTTGTTGCATATGTTCTGTGGCCGGGGAGCAAGTATGTGACAGTGTGTGGCTCTTACTTGCCAGGTTGCTTTTGTGTCCCTCGATTTCGAGTGTGTGCGTGTGTTTGTGTCACTTCTACAATGAATAGTTACATCCTGTTCACAACACGACACTGTCTTCAACTAAGTACAGACATACTAGGACGTCATGACCCCTCTCCGCCTCTCGAATATTGTCGTGAGTTATGAGTCAGTTGTGAGATAGAGGTCCTTTGTGCGTTTGACCTACCACACTAAGGTTATTCGGGTGATTACCGCAATTTTCTTGCGTGAAACTCTAGAAGCAGCCAACAACGACGCAGAACTTATGGTTCAGGAGCGGGCGAGGCAGACAGCAGATTTCCAAAAACCATGCATGTGTTGTGTGTTGTTTCTTCCTGGAGTCTCAAAGTACCTTGGAAACTTGGAAACCTTTGTAGGGTAATGTCCCATTTCTAGGGTGATTACTTGAAGTCTAGGTTGCTTATAGATTACTGTAAATGTTCGCAACGGCTGGCTACAAGAGTAAGAAGGATGGGAAGCGTAAAGTATGGACAAACCATTAATTCTGTAGTGTAATGTTGTTCTGCCAGATGTCCAGCGCTAATTCTATAGTGCGAGCATCTCCTTAAAAGGTTGGTTTTCACTACAGAATCAGGGTCCATGACCCTCTCTGGACTTCCCACCGGGATGACAAAACCATGTTCTAGTGCATCGCAGTGCGCAGACCCAAGAACAGCCAGCTTCTTCAGTCCGTGACCAAATCTTGGTTTGTGACCTTTCACAGGCCTCTACATGAAATTGACCCCAAACCAGGGGATCAAGTTCGGTCATGAATGGAAGAGCCAGGGGGTGAAAGGCAGCTCATTTGCTGGAAGAAGTGCTGTCGGGTATGTGTTGAAGATGGTAGGATGGACCAAATCATTTTTGAAAGATCCAGGTGGAACACCCAAAACATGCTCTGGTGTTGCTTCAGGTCTGAATCCCTTTCTGTTTGTTTGTTTGTTTTTGTTCAGGTTCCTGTTCCGCAGATCCACGGAATTCCACGATCTAGTCACAGAAATCAGCAAATCCCCCACCTCACTTGATCGAACTTTGCAAATCCAAGTGGCCTGTTTTGTGCCCAATCCAAGTGGCCTGCATGTCCCGCCTCAGGGACTCGTCCCGGGGATCCACCGATCCACCGGTGGTGTGGAGACACAGATCCAAGACGACCTGGAATCCGGATAGGCTTCCATAGGCTTCCATTGGGCACCCCTTGGAGGGTCCTGGTATAGGGATTATGAATCTGGATGTCCACCACTGAGAAAATAGCAATTCTTTGCCCCCAATGGTTGCGCCTGTTAACGTCTATTTTCTTGCGAAGCTTCCAACTTCCTGCAGGAGGGGCTTCGGCGAAAGGCGACCTATATCCACAAGCTGGAAAGCAGCTGGACCAGAAATATACTCTGGTGTTGCTTGTAACGTGACGTCCATTTTCCCCATGGGTCAATCCCCTTCTATATAATTGTTGTTTTCTCTTGTCCCCGACCGTTGATCCCAGATCTTCACCCACCGACATTCGACACTCGACAGTCGACCTTGGTATGTGCCATATTGATGAACCCGTTTGGCCTCCATCGCTACTAGTAACAAGTGCCTTACTAGTAGTAACAAGAAGCTAGTAGAAACAAGTGCATCGCTACTGGTAACAAGTGCCTTACTCCAAGTACCTTCTGAGAATTTGGGGTGGGTGCCAGGAGGGTCCAGTCATACCTTGTGAGGAGGTACGACTGGAGGTGTAGGGCAATATACCTGGACCCGCAGTTCGTACCCCCGAAAATGGGACATGACCTGGTGTTCTTAGAGGCTTCATGTCCCACCTGGAAACCCAAACAACAAGAAACACATATAATTTATAATATATACCCTGGGAGTCAAAGACTATAAAAAGAATGGTCTTTAAAGGACCTGAAAGGGAAGTTCCTTTACTTCAGCCGGTCAAAATATAGTCTTTGGACTTCTAGGGTATATAATTATGGCAATTGAAATCCTTTACACAGGAAGTGGCTGGGACTGGGGAAGCATCCATTTGCTTCTGGTTCTTTGATTTCCCAGGCAGGTACGGACGTCGAGTCCCAACTCGGATGTTTACAAGACTTGGAATCGCCAGGAACATGAGTTGGGATCCATATAGGTTTGTAGCCTGTTCAGATACATTCGCTCTCAACTGTCGGGATGTTTTGGAGAAACTTGCCTCTCCACCAACTATAGTATATAGTCTTCTCCTGGAGTTCTGAAGGTGTTTTAGCTATGAAAGGGATTAACTACCTTGGTTTCGTTGTTGTTGTTGTCTTTTTCATGGGCCATGCTTGTATTCAGGAAAAGATCCACTGGCTTCGACGATCGGTTTGTGGAACTGTGTGAGGGATTTGTTCAATCCAGACACAAATCCCTACACCTCCAAGTACCCCCTCAGAAGGTATTTGGACCCTCCTGGCACCCACCCCAAACACCTTCTCAGAAGGTACTTGGAGGCCTGGAAGTTGCGAGGATGTGTTTTTGATGCAACGACAGATCTTCAAGCCAATCAAACATGGCTTCCATACCCAGTCAGTGGATCACCTTTAAACGTTTTTCGGGGAGTGGTGGCACCCCACTAAACAAGAACAGATAGAAATGTTATCCTTATTTGAAGGAGCCAGCTTCATTTGCAAGCTTTGTGTGCCTTTGAAAATATGGGGAGTTGGTCCTAAAGGGTTGAAGCTGCCAGTGGATTGGACTTTGGTGCCAGTCAACCTGGTTTTGCTTAGGGTCATGTTGTGTTTTTCCTCTATGGACGCATCCTTGTGTGGGGTAATGATGTTTCGATGTTTACCGGTTTCCTTTGGATCCAGTCGTACCGAACCGCTTCGGTTCGGTGGGACGAGAAGGTGGCCGGGTGCCAGGAAGGAGGTCCAGTCGTACCTTTGTTTCGGAGGTACGACTGGATCCCTAGGGTTAGCAAATCCAAGCTAATCATGTTCATGTCCCAGGAGTGGACTGGGGTGGTGTTGAGTCCGTCGCGAGTGGATGTGATGTGTGGGGCGTTCCCTCCGTTCGGAACTGGCACCACGACATAGAACTGCTGGTGTGCTGGTGTCGTTCCTTAGTCCTTATTTGGCAGAGCTGTTTGCCTTATGGCTTCTTTTGGGGTTCTCCCAAAACCAATGGTTGGTGCTCTGGGATACAGCTCCCTTACTTATTGTTGTGAGCCATGGTTTTTTGAATAATCCTTTGGTCCCCTTTGTAGTTCTTAGTTCTTTCATAGGGTCCTCCGCACATCAAGGAGGTAAAGAACACTCCCAGGATGGGTCTGAGGGAAAATTTGCAGGAAACCCTTAGGTTCGAGGGTGTCATGGTTTCCTGTAGATTCTCCCGGTAAAACAATCCAGACTCTCATTTTCCAACTTCTGCACTGTAGCCTTTGATAGCCTCTAGACTCTAGATCATTAGTGTTGTGGAAATTCAAACACATTTTCTGGATAATCTTGCTGCCACCCGTGTGCGGCCACCCTTGGGGCCGCCAGCCCCTGATTAATGGTAGGCAGATTCGAGAGAAAACGATTCATTGTTAGTGTTATTGTGTTTTTAATGCATGTCTTCATATATCTTCATACCCCCAACTACTAGAGGTCTGGAATGGGAGGGCCTTAGGGGATCCACAATGAAAAGCCTGAGTCCCCCGTGATTGTAGTTGGAGGATGTTGGAGGTATTTAAGGTTTATCATGTATCTCTGTCTCGAAACTACACTTTGTTGTTTGTTGTTTCACATTTGATCCGGGTGATCCGAGTGATGCGTTTCTCAGCTTGGCCCTTGATTTCACAAGGCATCTTCAACGCGGTGGATGAAAGCCAGGATGGCTTGCTCAGCGAAGAAGAGCTGCGGCTCGGTTACGGTTGGGGCCGGTGACCGATGGACGGTCGGTGAGGAAACGAAAACGACGTGTCCGAAGGACTTGAGCGAGGGCCAGGGGGAATCAAGAAAACCCCAACAATTGGAACATGTGTAACTACTCCCCTGCAAAAAGGCAAAACAAAACATGGAACCGCCAAAACGTGTGGGGTCTTTGGAAACAGGTCCAAACAACAGTGACTAATTCTCAGGGTCGGGATTGTTTGCGAGAGAAGCTACAGCGGGATACACTCAGAATCTTAAATCTAGATCTTCGAACCATTCGAAAGGACGACTTACAGGACATGCGCAGACAACATGATGCTTGTAACAATCCGTTTTGATGCCTGGTCCATTGCAGGCTGCAACTTGCAACTTGCACGACTTGCAAATTGGGCCTAGAATTAGTTCGTCTTGTCATGGCATGTCCAGTTTGCCCAGGTCTTTTGCGTTTTGTTTTGGGCCAAGTTTCAATAGGTGTTTTGGAGGAGGATAAGCTGCGACCGTTTTGTCGCTAACCTCAAGGAACTCACTGGTCGCCCACCTCTTGATGGTGTCAGACATCTATGGGAGATATATGGTAAATCTCACTCCGTAAAATTCCTGCTTAAGTTTAACCCCCAGAGTCCCAGATGCATCTGGACCAGACTTCAAGCACCCTAGAAACTAGGACCTGACCGAACCCTAAGCAGACAGGCACTTGTACCATTTTGTATCCATTTTCTGAGGTATGAACTCACGGGTCTCCAGGCAGATCTAATTTCAACGGATCGGATTCGCGAATGTCCAGGAATGAACTCTTCCGCGATTCACGTGTCACGACCTATCTGGAGACCTTGGATATTGATGTGCAACAATCGGTTGCTCGGTGCGGGTGGGGGACGAACGGCCCCGAGAGACGAAAGTACCGAAACGAGTCATGGGACCATTTGGACCATTGGTTCGGGTCATGTCCGTCATGTCCTATGTTCTTTCTCCAAGCACATGAAAACTATAGTGGAAAAAGACAAACACAAACATGGTGAGAGCGAGTTGCGAGGGCTATGTGTGGCTGCAAATAGCTTGGGGAGCTTCCGAGGTCTTGTAATAGCCAGTTTTTATGAGCCAAGATGATCCACGGCTAGGGAAAAACCGTATACCCAATTTACCAGCAACAGATCACTTGTCATGGTCTTTACTAGCTACATGATACAATGTACACATCATCCACTGTTGCTAGAGCCATTTGCGGTGTGTCCAAGCCAGATACCAACCATGAGGCGTTTGCCGGCCCTCGTCTAGTCTTCGTCCTTCGTCCTGAGTTTGACTGCACATCGACTGGATTCCTCGTTTCAGCAGGTTTCAGCTGCTTTACACGGGTTTGCCCGAAATGAACGGCAAACTGTTACCCTGATAGCATGGATTGTCCTGCAGACTGCGCTATGCTACGCTGCTTGCTTTTTGCCGCCAAGCGTGTGTAGGTGTGCACATGTGTCCAGGGGCCACTGTTCCGATAGCGTGGAATGCCCAAAGTTCAACGCGCATCATTTACACTTTGGTTCTTACTTAGACACTCCATGTATGTCACCTATGTCGGGGTGGTTTTAGGGGTCAATGTATCTTAATATGCTAGTCCCATGTTTCGTGTGTTGTTCCAGTGACTCCAGTCGGCTACGGTGCGGCGTTGCGGCTATTTTTGTGGCATTGCGGCTGTTACACCCTAGGCTTCCAACCACCATTGATGGAATAATCAAAGCCCTTCAAGTGTATAGTACTGTAGTTGAGGCTGCCTAATAGGGTTAAACTGGCGCATCTTGTACCACCCCCCTGGTCTCCTCAGAGCATTGCCTACTGGGACCACACCGTGGATGTGCCACACCTTTTGGGAGATTGTTTCACAGGTGGAGATTATAGGTCCTATGTTCCAGGTGCTTAGGAACGGACCTCACTGGATCATACCAAACACTACTTGTCTACTGAGTTTTTTTTTTCAGCATCGGGTTTGGACCATGCTTTCACTAAGTCAGACTGACCCGTAGTACTGAGTGAAACGGCGGAGTCGGCCGCCGACCAAAGACCTTTGAATGGAAGCGGACGCATAGCTTGCTTCGTCTTTTTTAAGCTTCCGCTTCAAAGCCCAGGAAGCTCTTTTCCACTTGTTGGCCAATGGTGCCTACTCTCGCAGGGTGGAAGGAAAGATGGGACACTGCTCGCTGGATGAATTTCTAGGTGGGGGTTTAGATATGTGTATGTTCAAGCTTCACATGGGATATCAATGGGATGATTAAGCCCACTGACTTATATGTGTATATATATAAGACGTTTTTGTTGAAACCACCAACCAGAGTTCTCTCAAGAGTGTCCGCGGAAATGTTCTATCTTCGTGCATTTGGTGCTGGTCATCTCTAGTCATTTGCGCATGCTATAGCTTATTGCAATGGTTCATCCAAGGGCTTCAACTACCGTCGGAGAAATAGCTTCGAGTTGCTTTGCAGGTTCCAAGTACATTCTGTCAATAGATTGGAGCCCCCGAAAGAATCGCCCTTTCGGAGGTCGCCAACGCTTGGCGAGGTCGCTGCAAAAGCGCGCAGCTGGGTGACCCTTTTGGTCCCTGTTCAATCAACAGTCTCCCATCAACCCCAAATGCTGCAAGAGGCTAAATATGAACTATATATATATACTGGACCTTCCAGTTCGTACCCTGGGAAATTGCACATGACCCGAACACCAATAGCCCACGCACGACTAAGTCGGGCCCCATTTTCTGAGGTTTGGACTGAGACTGTTACATGCACCACTGAAAATCTCCCAATGTGCAATCCCATGGAGGGGAACCCTTGATAGGAGGGGTGTGTACCTGAAAAAAAAAGGTCCATTCCCTGACACTCCATGTATGGCATGACTCCCTGGAAGAATCATGGGGGCACCATCGGTTTGGTATTCAGAAAAGGGTCATCCTTTCAAGGCCATGCTATCCGGGAGTGTACGTAGCACCTGTACCCTGTTATACCGAAGCACACCAGGGCTATACTACTCAAGCTCTCATGAGCCCGAACTTGTGCCTGCACCGGGATTGTATATATACTATCACCTATGTCGCATTTTGGTCGGCCGGAGGAAAATTAGACACACACATGTACTATCGGCATGCAACAATATATGTTGCTTCGGTGGACTTCTGGGCCGAAATGCCACAGGTCATGGAGAAATCACGTGTGCGGATTTCATCGACGGCATCTTGCGGTGCAAAGGCCCTGCCAGAGCTATCGATCAGATGCTTGGCAGATGTTCTCCGTGAGGTGGCCTCTAAAGTCGGGCGATGGTGTCAAACAGTGGTTCCTTCATCTCCGTGTTTTGCCCCCGACCTTGATGGCATCCGTCCTGTGAGCCAGGTCTTTTCCACCCAGTGACCCCATGAGGCCCTTGCGAAAGACCTTGAGTGACCCCTTGCATCAACCCGACCTGAGTCCCAAGGAGGGGAGGGGCTTCGGTGGAGTCGTGGAGTTGATTGGAGCGGGGTTTTGGGCCTGAATCCCAAAGAACCAGCTGCTTTACCAAGGGTTTTGAGCGGTTTTGCACTACAAAAGCCAGGTCTTTCCCATGCATATGTTGATTGGTTTTGGAAGGCTGGGGAAGGGCTAATTAGGGGTTTTGGTGGTCACACCGCCTATCATCAAAGAGTCGAAGATATCACCTTCTCAGAAGGTAGTTGAAACAAAGTTCACATTGACATACCCTGGAGCTCCAACTGCCCTTTGGGTTAGGAGTCCTCCCCACTTCCACTTAGGACTGGCGACATATGAAATTATTAAACTATATATATATATACATAATATACGTACACTCATATACACTGGAATCATCATGGAAAGTGGATGGCAATGCCCCTTGGATTATCAGGTCCCTCTATGAATAGGTGGTTGTCCACTTCCATGATGATGCAAGGGAGTGTACACTATCTATTTATTTCACTGGATGTCACATGCTTGTTTTGGATGTGGGTCATTCCCGGTAATTAAGAAGACAAGACCACCATCGGAGTTGTACATGACTTTCTGTGAATTGCCGTCTCTTACATTGTGATGATGATCCTATGTCGTTCCTGGCTTGGGGAAGAAGGTCGTTCCGTGCCTTCTGTCGTAGTGTGGGAAGGCCGTGTTGACTCACTGGTGCCAGGCCTTTGCATGTCTTTTTGGTGAGGCTTGACACCTCTCAGAGAGGGATGCCTTTCATCCTTTTGCCTTAGTGGGGTTTTCTTGTTTGCGTTCAATGACATAATGTAGGCTCTTGATTGATATCCCCCCAATTGGAATGTAAAACCTTTCCATATGTAAAACCAAAAGTTTACTTCCCCTATCAGAGAAGCTCCAGGCAAACAGAGCCAGCTGCCCGCAGCTCCGTGCAAGATCTGGTCATGTGACTGTAAAATACATTTCCTCCATGGACTTGTCACACATGTAACATATAATTAACAACTTGTTATAATCAATTTATCTATGTACTTCCGTCCTCGGATATTAAGACGACCGATCGAGAATCGAATTTTTGTATAGTGTTTGGGCTCGAAGGGGAATGCACCCCTGTCGGTTGTGCACTATCCAGTGTTCCGACGGGGATTCGATCTGTGTGTTTTGCAGATCGAGGGATAGGTTTTGGCGAGCCTTGGACACGTTGCCCGTGCGCTGCCGTGGTTGGGGCATTCAGAACCTCAGGATCTGGACCGCCATCATAGAGGAGGAGTTGGAAAGGGTTGCTGAGGCCGAGCGCCAGCAAGTTCAGGCTGAGGTTAGCGCAGCTCCCAAGTCGGGGAGTTTGGCAGCGCCGGAAGGTAGGCCAGAAGAGAAGCCAGACAAGACCTGGGTGAAGCCTAAGGAGGAGGAGCGAAGCAGCCCTGGCCCTGGCAAGCCAGGTTTGGTAGAGGTGAACGAACCGCAGGAGGAAGAAGGCAAGTATTCCAGCAGTTCCAGGCCCGCCAGAGAGGAGAGGAAGCGCCACTTGTCGGAGGGGCGCTCATTGAGGAGAAGCAGGAGTCGACGGAGGAGAAGAGATTCCAAGAGCCGGGACGCTAGGAGGCGAAGGAGGCCATCTACGTCAGCGGAACGTCGCAAGCCACCTCGGGAAGAAGGTCCGGTTGAGAAGGAGCGGAAAGTCAAACCAAGTGTCAGGCCACCTCGAACCCCTTCGAAGTCGCCACCCAAACGACCCAAGAGGTTACCAGTTGCAAAGCCCAAGCCGAGGCCAGCACCACGGTATTGGCAAGGTCCTGTCAGGAGCTGGAAGCTAGATCCAGCTTACTACGGGGTGAACAAGGGAGCAAAGAAGAGGGAGAGGCATTACCACGGTGACCAAGGTGGTCGCTGAGGCCTCTAACTACACCGATGCCCCCACGAGCAAGGCCAGCTGCTGACATCCGGCGAGCTGGAAGAGAGGATCCTCCTTTTCGGGGAGGAAGAGTGCGAAGACGCCCTGCTGTCAGGGCTGAAGGTGAGGAGGAAGATAGAGAGAGAGAGCGAGACGAACCGAAGACAGGCCGTGATCATCGGCTCATCGACGGGTTCGACAAAGGAGATCAGGTGAAATGTCAGGACATCCCTCTAGAGGCTTTCAGGAGAGGAGTGGCAGTGATGGTAGAAGGAAGCTACTGGGGCGCGAGAGCTTCAGTGGCTGGGGTCCTGCAGGATATCCACGTGCGAAGTCCTGCGGACATAGAAGTTTCCCTGAAGCTTCAGGGCACGGACGAGGAGAACCTTTTGAGATGGTCGACTGGCAATCCCACGGAGCTGTTGAGAGTGCACTTGTGTGGGAACGCCTGTCCGGACCGCCTAGAAGCCGACAACCTCCTCCACGGCGTCAGCATCAACAAGAGGGTGAAGGAGGACCTGCCTTGGATGAGCAACCTGGTGGAGGCAGGCGATCCTTCCCGGAGAGCAGTCGAAGGCGGTCTCCTAGGCGGGGAGACCAAGGAGAAAGGAGGAGAAGATCGCGGAAGAGAGAGAGAGAAGGCCACCGGCAAGAAGCACGATCGAGAAGGCGGGAAGAAAAAGAAAGAAAGCAGAGAAAGAGATCGAAGCCGAGGCCGTTCACGAGAGAAAATCAGGTTGAGAGGAGGTGCAAAGAAGAAGCTCGAGGAGGTCTTGGGCGGGACAGGACTGTCCCCGGATCCTCGATTTCGCCGGAGATTTGCAACCAAGGCCCAACGGCGAATCACGAAGCGGAAGAGGTCGTCATCCAGCAGCACCTCGAACAGCAGCAGCGACTCCTCCTGCGGGGAGTCAGTAGAAGTGTTTTCAGAAGAACACAAGGTCCGTCGGATTGCCAAGCAGGCGCCGGGTCTACTAGCTGCTCAAGCCCTAAAGGAAATGCAAGGGGCTTTGCTGACCAGCACCGGAGGCATCTGGCACCAGGAGGAGACAGAGCTTCATCCTCTCTCAATCCAGTACTACCGGCAAGCCATGGCACCACGCCTTCAAGGTGCCCCATCGAGGGAGGCATTGACTCTTTGCTTTGCCATCGACCTGATCCTCCAAGGCCGAGTGGCCGAATCGGCCGATTGTCTAGTTCAGAGGTTGAAAAGCATCGAGATGGTTTCGCAGGGGGCGGCATGGCAAATCGCCCAGAGGCTCGAGGTTCTGCCTCCGGAACGTCCAGCCTTATCCTCGAGGAGCGAAGCCAAGGAGGCAATCCGGGAACAGAAAGCGGAGTCCAAGACCAAATCGGAAGCATCCCAAGCAAAGGGGAAAGGAGAAGGATGGAAGACTTCTTCGTGGAACGAGAGCGGAGGAGACGCCGGCAGAAAAGGAAAGGAGGCAAAGGGCAAAGGCAAGAAGGGCAAACAGAAGGAGGAGCAAAAGAAGTGACTGCCCAAAGAGCGGATGATGAGCCCTTTGCAGACTATGAGCCGCTGCGGCATGAAGCTCCATTTGAAGGGGAGCTTAGCACAGTGGAGCCAGGCAGGGACCTGGTCAATTTTCCAAAGATCCTGACCACTGAACATCAAGTCGATGCGGAGGTTGGGGGTGCCGAGACGGCGGATGTGAGGCTGAGTATGCTAGCCATTTCCCCGCCACCATCGAGCGAACGACAGGACTTTGTCGCGCTTGAAAAAGTATGCATGAGACCGCCAAGTGCTGGAGACAGTTTTGCCGAAGCCATCCCTTGGGTATTGAATATACTGGTTCATACTTGTGAAGAAATAGGTCTTGATTCGCGATGCGAGGCCCAGCCCAAGGGCGACATCTTCCCGTTGCCCACCAGTATGTCCTACCTCAAGACGATGGTGGAGGCGCCTGAGTGAGAAGTGGTGATGGTTCGGGGCATGTGTTGTGCATTGAATAGCTTTTATGGGGAGGCTGTTGAGAATCATTTTCATCCCACTAAGCTGCAAGGGGAGGTAGTTAGAGGTCTATATAAGGAGGCTCAAGTGGTCCTGGGGTGGCCCGAAAGAATGGAAGAAACTTCGTGGAAAAGCTTCTTTCAGCTGAAGACCATAGACTACTGTGGTGATGAAGTCCTTTGTGCATGTCCGACGGCCTGGGCTAATCTGGCCCCTGCGATGCCTGCTGAAGTGGCGTCGGTGGAGTTGTCCGAAGTCTGTGAACTGGGTTGCAAACATTACGTAGATCATTTTCATGAATATCTCCTACCAGGGGAGATGCAAAAGAGGATGAAGCCTCCACGCGTTCTGGTCCATGATGACCATTGGATGGAGGTGTGCACAGGTTTGCTGTCCAGGGGCGTGTGCGTCCCCATCCATGCAAAGGAGGTTCATTGTGCGGCGGGTGCACCCGTCCTGAACGGACTATTTGGCGTTCCCAAGGGCGAAGAGGTAGGCGGCCTGCCGGTTCACCGTTTGATCATGGATCTTCGGCCATGCAACCTAGTCTGTCGAGCTCTTGAAGGAGACATCTCAACTCTACCCAGTTGGGCTACTATGAGCCCCCTGCAGGTGATGCCCACTGAGAACCTCGTAGTGTCGTCTGAAGATGTTCGCTGTTTCTTTTATATTTTCAAGATCCCACATGAGTGGACGAGGCTCTTGGCCTTCAACAAGGTTCTCCCGCAAGATCTCTGGCCAACTGCTGATGGGCCCTACTATTTGGCTTCGCAGGTCCTTCCCATGGGGTTCAAGAACTCGGTCAGTGTAGCACAACATGTACACCGCAACATCATTCGACGAGCAGGACTTCGAATTCCCGGGCACCTTGAAGGCTCTGCAGAGATTCGCAAGGATAGGCCCTTTTCAGGTTCCCCAACACTTCACCGAGTTTACCTGGACAACTTTGATCTGCTCGAGAAGGTTGATCGCCGGACAGCGCAGCTCCTACAAGGGGAGCCAAGTCCAGCTTTACTGGCTCTACGGGCTGAGTACGAGGAATGGGGGATACCTAGGCATCCCAAGAAAGCGGTATGCCGGTCTTTGAAAGCTGAGGTGCAAGGAGCGATCATTGATGGCGAGGCAGGAGTGGCATACCCCAAGCCGGTGAAGCTCTACAAGTACCTCGCCTTAGCGACTCTGCTTCTTCAAGAGGTTTCCTGCACACAGAAACAGGCTCAGGTAGTTGCTGGAGGATTGGTCTACATCAGCATGTTCCGTCGTCCTTTGCTTGGTGCACTGAATCAACTCTGGCAATTCATCGAGAGCTTCCGGGGCTACCCTCCGTTCATCAAGTTACCCATACCGGCTGGAGTGAAGTTGGAAGTCTCTAGATTTGCCTGCCTGATGCCTCTAGCGAAGTTGAACTTTCGCCTCCTGGTGAGCGGGGAGGTCACGGCCAGTGATGCATCAACCACGGGAGGGGGCATCACTATCAGTACGGGGCTTACTGGATTTGGCCAGGCAGCATCAGAGGCGCAGATCAGAGGAGATGTGGCGGACCCCAGTGACCTTCATGCGGTCCTCACTATTGGTCTCTTTGATGGCATTGGAGCCTTGAGAGTCGCAGCCGATTCCCTAGGGCTTGGGATCATTGGCCACGTCAGTGTTGAGGTGAAGAAGGAGGCTAGCAGAGTGTTAGAGAGCCGCTTTCCGTCGACTCTCTTCGTCGAGGATGGCGTTGAGGCAGTGGATGATGAGATGGTCCGGTCTTGGGCCTCTCGATATTCTCAAGCAGCAGTTGTTCTCATTGGTGCTGGTCCGCCGTGTCAAGGAGTGAGTGGACTCAACGCCAATCGAAGAGGAGCCCTTCGTGATCACAGAAGCTGTTTATTCAGTCATGTCACGAGGATTCGTGAGTTGGTGAAGCTCCATTTCCCCTGGGCACAGGTGAGGTACCTGGCCGAAAGCGTCATGAGCATGGATGAGTGTGACAGGAAGGTGATGACGGAGTCCTTTGGGGACATCCCCGTGTGCATTGACGCAGCAGGAGTCTCCTTAGCTCGTCGGCCGCGTCTTTACTGGTGCGACTGGGAACTGCTCCCAGGTCGGGGAGTAGTGATTGAGCCTCCGGTGGGTGAGAGGACTGCTCAGTACAGGATCATTACGCTTGAGGCGGAGGTGAGAGAGGAGCTCTTCCTAGAGGCCGGGTGCCAGCGAACATCATGCGAGCCGCTGCCTACGTTCACCACTTCCCGACCGCGGGACAATCCGGGACGGAAGCCAGCGGGACTGTCGACTTTGGATGAGGAGGAGAGAAGGTCATGGGAGAGTGACCGTTACCGGTTCCCCCCCTACCAGTACCAGAAGAAGAACCTCATTCAGGAACCGGGAGGCAACCTGCGTCTTCCTACGGTCAACGAGAGAGAAGTGATCATGGGGTTCCCAAGAGATTACACATTTCAATGCATGAGTAAGCAGTTCCATGGGACTTCAGCACACTTGGACGAGCGGAGAACCCTCATTGGCAACACATGGAATGTCACGGTTGTGACATGGCTCATTTCACAACTCGGTGGGCAATTAGGTCTCAGCCCCTTCCTGTCGCCTCAGCAAGCGGTGGAGAGGACTACACCAGGAAGAAGTGCGACGGTGACCGGAGTGTTGCAGAGACCGCCAATGGTTGCTCCTATGGTGTCGGGGAGCAAGGGTAATAGCCAGAAACTCGTGGAGAAGCTCATGAACTTGGTCAGTTTGAAAGGTGAGGACATCATGATTCAGGCCCAGTCTGAGGAGACGTTACGGTATCATCGGCTCCGTGCCAGCCTGCCAGCTGCCCTCTGGCAGTGGAAGACTATAACAGGGTGGCGATGGCGAGGCACACCAGAGCACATCAACGTCCTCGAAATGCGGGCGGTGCTTACTACCCTCAAATGGCGTATCGTGAAGCAAAGAGCCTTTCGCACCAAATTCATTCATATGATCGATAGTCTTGTTTGCCTACATTCTCTGTCACGTGGACGAAGCAGCAGCAGGAAGATGAGGAGGACGCTTTGTCGAATAGATGCTTTACTTCTGGCTTCGGGAAACCATGGAGTATGGGCGTATGTCCATACTTCTCAGAACCCAGCGGATCGGCCGTCTCGGCGGCCAGTTCGCAAAAAATGGTGAGAAGACAGGCAGCGCATCTCGAAGGCAGAAGTAAAGCAGATAGACAGGCACAGAGGAGAAACCTAGGTCCACTCCGAAATCTGACAGTGCAAAGCAAGACTCGTGATCGTTACAACAAAGCCCTTGACAAGTACAAAAGCTACCTCAAAGATGAAGGCCGCATTTTTCCACGAGATGCTGCCGGACATGATTACCTTCTTTCTCAGTACATTGAATTCCTCTGGGAGACAGGCGAGGGTCGTGCCCTCGCGTGTGACACCATCGCTTCAGTGCAAGACCAACAACCAGCTGTTCGAGGACACCTTCCCAGCGCGTGGCGGTTGCTGCGAACGTGGCAGGCCAATGAAATACCAAACCGGGCACCTCCGCTTCCTGTGGAGGCCCTGCATGTGCTCGTTGGCTACTCGCTCTTCTCCGGCAACAGCCTCTTTGGGCTTTCTCTGCTCCTTGCCTTTCATGGGCTCCTACGTACCGGGGAGCTTCTGGGCGTCCGAAAAGCTCACATCACACAAGTAGGTCCCAGGTCGCCTGCGGTCATTTCCCTAGGAATGACTAAGGGTGGCAAACGAGTTGGAGCCAGTGAAAGCGTGACTATTCGCGAGGAAGAGACGCTCCGCAGGTTGTGGCAGTGGTTGAACACCCCGGGAAGCCCTTCGTTGCTTTGTGGCACAGCCCATAGTTGGAGGAAGACCTTCAATGATGCCCTGGAAGCATGTCAGCTGACGGGACATGACTTCCGACCTTACAGCCTTCGGCGAGGAGGCGCTACGATGTATTTTGGGCGACACGGATCGCTGGATCGCCTCCTAGTTCAGGGGAGGTGGGCCTCATCCAAAACGGCCCGAATCTACATCAACGAGGGGTTGGCAGTTCTAGCCCAACTTAAGCTGAGTTTTAATGCACCAGCCAAAGCATATGCCCGACAATTTGTCAAGTCTTTAATGTCACCGCTCCAAACCCTTGAGCTTCCCCAAAAGGGGAGGCCAGGGGGACGTGGAAAGAAGGCTAGACATGGCAAGAAGAAGCACCACAAGTAGTTCTC